GCGGTGTTGTATAACTTTCTTTTGTTCACGAACCTGGCTTAGTGCACTGCTGACCTCTTTTCAATAGGGGCCAGATTAGCGTGCAGCGATGCTGTGTGGCTCATCCCTGCGGTGGTGGAGCACTTTTGTCCCCAGTGGTAATCCGCTTACTCTCAATGCCCACAAACCCTGATATATGGTTTCAAAACAAGACTGAATTATCACAACTTTTGAGAGCGAAAAATGTCGGTAATGCCCAGCAGCCTGGTCTTTTGTTCAGAGTACGGACTTTTGTTACAGGGTCCTGTTTCCTCTGTCCGAGTTCGGAGACCCCGGCCACGCATATAAACCATACGTCTCAGAGTTCGGAGACCCCCGCCACGCATATAAATCATACGTCTCCGATTTCGGAGTCCCCGGCAGGAAGTGGTTTAACTGTATCTCATTTTCAGAAACTTTTTAAAATCAAATTCATATAACAAAACCGGCATACATGCCTTTAAACAAAAAGTTAAGCACACTTGTACACATGTACACTTTACATACAGTCGATTGGTGATACATACGTCAAACAGGATGGCAGCTTTCCCTTAAGACGAGGTCCAGATAATACAAGCTAATTCAGTAAGTCCCAAGGCCCTCGTATTAACGAGAGTCAACTGTATATCCCCAATAAACCAGCCCCTACATGGAATTACTCACTAATTGCATTAACCCCAACCCTCCTCAATCCTTCAAAATCTTTCGGGCTGTTTTGGAGGATTGAGGATGAATGGCAAAAGTGTTTGGTGGATTGTGAAGGATGCCGTGTGAAGGTTGTGGGTTGGACCTTGTGTTGATAATGCTTAGTCATGCATAAATTTTGCCCAACCTTACTTTGAAATCAATGGCACTGCTCAAGAAAGTAATGAGCACTGCCTCAACATAATGGCAGGAATTGCCAGAGGAATTTGAAGGAAAAACAAGTTGATAGGCATTATTTCTGTCAATTATTTGATATACCATTTTGTCAAATCATTGAGAATCATGTATATCCTGTGAAACATCCCAAAAATCGACCATTTTTCTAAAAGCCACACAGAATGTACATACACAACTCAAAATAGCATACATGTTTTGCTGTTCAACTAGCACATGCACAACACATGGTGTGTGTTGCGGGTTGGTTTCATACTTATGTTCTAGCCTGCTGCCCACATTCCCACACATGTACATAAGTCGGAATACACAAAACACCCCATTCTGCGATTACTTTTAAACATCCCATTCTACGATTACTTTTACTACCACTACCCAATGTGCATACCACAGTATTTCAGAGGGAGTAACATAAATCTGTGTAGTTCTTGATCACCTGTACTAGACTTTACCAAGTCTCACATAAATCTTATTTTGCAAATAAACTTGAAGCTTGGAGTCGGTTATTCTTATTATTTGTAATGTCGTTTTGTTTAGTCCATTGATTTTTATTTTTGTTGAATATTGTCCTACCAATATCTGTTCTTAATGGGCGAATAAATAATACTAAAAAATAATAAAAAATAATTCCACCAAAAAGGTTAAACCCCCAAAAAAGCCACAAAACCGAAGGAATCTCACCCCTGCTATAGTAACTAAAGTTCGACCTATACCCCTGAAAGATGGATGGTTTGGAGCATGGTTTCATCACTGGTTATCAGTAACCAATTTCGTTTATCTGAAAAGAGGAAACCATTCACATAAAAATAATTGGACAAGATGTCCAACTTCAAATGCCACAAAATTTGCATTGACAGTTCACTCGCCCACTGTGGCACGGCAACCCACACGAAATGGTCGCTGAAGAAGCATAATATCATGAAAGAATATTGTGATTGGTGTCATGCAAAATGTACATCATGAAAATGCAGTCTCATTGGTGGGTACACTAGATCTTCTTGCAGCAATATGAATAATTTAGTGTTGGGCGATTAGTTGGGCTCTTGAGATTTGATAACCAAGCGAACTTATTTGGGTGTATATTTATCGGAATTGGGAAGGGAATGTTTGTTTTAATGTTTGTGTGATCAATGTAAAATATATTGATTTCTGAATCGTGCTTTACGCTTACCAAGACTACAGAAAACTGGAAAATGGTTCCAGCGTATCATGTTTGAGGGATGCATCTGGAGGGGTGGGCGATTAGGCCCATGCTGCGGCTGGAAATTTTGTGGATACACACTCATTTTGAGCATGAGCAGTACAATTTCAAATTAAATTCATGAACACAGAAAACACAAACATAGACATGAGATCAATTTTTGTGGATGAACCTGCAGAAGAATTTGTGGCGGCAGTGTTTTTCAACTTGCAACTGTTAAACTGTATTTGTAAACAATGTAGTGGAACATCTGTGACCCTTTTGGGCAAGAACTGTACCCTGACTGGTTGCCACATTTCCCTTGCGCCTTCTTTGGCAACGGTTCGGCCGGGCGGGAACCAGTGTGATGCACTGTGCATGTGTTTTCACCACTGCGATTTGTAAATGCCCGTTCTAAATGGGTCGCCAACAATAGTTTTTCAGGCAATGGAGTCACAAAATTCATTCGTTGCAACAGGAATTTCTTAAAATGCGACTTCCCTGTAACAGATTTTTCACCGGGACCACAGACTTGTGTTTGTTATAACTGTAATTTCCTTATGGCCGATTTTGTAATAGCGAGAGTCGCCTGTATACAAGTATACTGTGAATATCACGCAGATGTACACTGTATGAGGTGAAATACCAAAAAAAAAAGTCTGATCCTCGAAAAGACAGAATAAACTACGAACACTATTACACAATACAAGAGACTTTATTCTTCCCTTGATTATTTAGCATGCATGCAAATGCAATATGAATATTTAATTAGCATATTGTAACACCCCCCTCCCATTTTCACAAAAGATTTGTGCGATTCACGGGGATTGACTTTTGAGGCCCCAAAAACTGGAATTCTGGAAAAAACTGGAGAAATCACATCCCTGTGCACCCAACCCCCAAGTACATGTAGGGACATAGAGGATTTTGGAGCAGTGAGGATTTAGGTACCTTTCATTTTGTGCACAAGCAAAGGATTGAGGATGAATGAAGTTTTCAAAGTTGGGTAATTGGAAGATTTTGGAGGATTGAGGATTCAGGTACCTTTCATTTTGTGCACAAGCAAAGGATTGAGGAAGAATGAAGTTTTCCAAGTTGGGTAATTGGAGGATTTTGGAGGATTGAGGATGTGCCCTAGTTAAAGGCCCTAGAGAGTTGGGGTTAATGAAATACATGTACAAACAATCGCCCAGTTTTCATTTGTGGGACCAAAATGCATGCAAGTTTCACTTTTTTAATGGACAAGAGATTAATAAATGTTCCTAGCATCCAACATTGTCCAAAAAGTGAGAAAAACAGGAAAAAGGTGAAGAAAAACAACCATTATCCATTTGAGTCACAAACGTGCATGTTTTCATCAAGGGTACAACTTAACTAGGGTACAAGTTGACCAGGGTACGAGTTGACCGGCTGGGCTGGAAATTAAGGGGCGCATGTAGCTAAAATGCACCTGTTTGTCTCAGAAATGTGCCTGTAAAGACGGGAA